CAAGTCACGTCTAAGTCTCTAATAGTAGTGACTTAAGTGCAACTCAAGTCCGAGTCACGAGTCCCCATCTYTGGTACAAAGCTCCTCCCTGGAGCTCAGTCTGCAGCCGAGCTCCCAACACATACTACACCTCTCCTCCGAAGCAATGTTTGAAAATGCTGAATGGGCGTGTCTGAAACAGAATGAYGTTCTCAAATAGACAGAGGCCAGTTTTATGGTGTTTAGATGAAAAGTCCAATTTAAGGTAACGTTGTTACTTGATTGTGGTATAGACTTGAATATGCCCGGAAAATACATAACGCCCTGGTTTAAAGAACATCTCCTAACCAAATACCTATTTAACTATTTATCTTAGATTGTTAAACCATCAAGTCTAAGTAATTACTCAACAACTACTTCTTCAAACTAGTTTTCTTCAAATTTTATTCTCAGTTATTTGTGTTGTATATTAATTTTTTTGTTATTGTTGTTGATTCTATTTTTGAATTATGATGTTTATTGGTTATGGTAAAGCGTTCCCTGTAATGAACTATTTCCACTTCGGTGGTTGGGTCCTGATTATAAAGGGTGAATAAGTTAATCAACCTTTACCAGAGCAAATAAAGCATCACCCTCTTTCCTCCCACCTTACCACTCACTCACATATGTAACTACCTCATATATATATATTTATATATATTACATCAAATTTCCATTAAAAAATATTTCACATTATTTACCAAGGGAAACAGTTCAGTGGGTGTCGTGCATTGACCGGATCAGAACCATGGGACTGAGTGCACATGACTGACGCATTAGTAATGTCTCCATCATCAGCACCATCTGACGCACACGGTCTTTTCACCCCCCCAGGTCCCCCTCACCCCACCTTTCCCTCCACAAACACACTCAGACAGTGTGACCCCTCCCTCCCGGGCTGTTTCTGAACCATATAAATCCGTCTGTTGCGGGTTTGAACCAAAGACCTGCTGAGAGAAACCAGACTGACAAAGAGATCAAACTCCAATCTCCTGAGTGGTGCAAACAAGAGCTTCTGCTGCGCTTCGGGGCCACCTGGAAAACAGACAACCTCCTGGATTCCCTAATCTTCTCAAAGTAAGTGTCTCTTTCTCAAGACTTTCCATCATTCATGAGATCCATTTGTTAGGTTTTTGTTGTTGTAGGACTTTCAATAAAACATCCTTTAAAAAGTAAATAAATAACTTAAATAAAATGAACTAAAGAAATTGAATATATTTCAAGTTTTATGTCAAATGTGTCCTGCCACATTTTTCTGTCTGTTCTTCATTGGGAGAGAAACAGAAATCTTAATCTGTGATTAAATCAGCTTTTAAGGAAAGAACCTGAGAAAAAGAAGTTAATGAAAGAGGGCAGTCCAGGTACAGATCAGACACTTATTTTTGTCACAACTATGTCAAAACAGTCCTTTTTCTATTTCTTTTGTTCATGTGCTGAATTATAATCAATTGCTCACATTCAGAAGTAGTTTATATTTGTCTCAGTTAGCTCAAAAATCAGGTGCATGTTCTCATGGTGCAGCTCTGCCCATGCTGCTGACGAACTGTAAATCTAATAAATTTCATATATATATATATATATATA